AATTAAATGGCTAGTGCATAAAAGTTGGCTAATATATGTAATATTTGTTTTTTTAAGAAAAAATCCTTCTACCTCCGCTGAGGTTTATTATTAATATTATAATGAATGTTTTCAAAATCAGACCAGACCGAAAAAATCAGGAATCGATCAACCCAAGAACCGGATCTCAAAACAGTTCTTTGTCCGATCCAATTTTAAAAGCCTTGATTACAATAGCCTCAAGCCGTAGGCATAACAAATTTAGCTGCAGTTAGCAGTAATATGTTGTAGATGCCATGGAACCTCTAAAGTAGGGTTCAACAGGATGTTAATAGACCCAATAGCTTTGCAAATAGAAGTCCTTTGACCACTAAGGCTTCAATCACTTCTAAGTGGTTAGGTTTGACATTAATAGCACGCCCCATGTGTTCCAATGCCACATCCCCCGCTTATTTGAAGCGCCATCTACATTACTCAAGGTCTCTATTTACTTGCATGTCGCTTGTCGCGGGGCGAGAATCCCAGTCTCACGTATGTTGCTAATGCTAGTGCTGTTAATTCTCAAAGTAAATTCCAAGAAATGAGCTGAACTATTAGTGATAATCCAGTGGGGTTAAACTCCTCACTTTGCATAATTGTTTTGCACCGTCCTTTCTAAGCATACTATAAGCAAAATATAGCTCTAGCAAATAAGTCTCTGTTAGACAGTGTATGTCTTTAGTTCCAATCAGGTTGATGTACATAAATATTTATCTGTAAATAAATAAGATGCATTGTTATTTAGTGTTGATAATGGTATATTTTTCGTGTATTACCCCTTAAATTAGACACTTATGAGGCTTGTATTAATTTAAAATATTCTCAGTCATTAGATAGACTTGAGGAGTTTATTCTAACAAGACTGATACTAGTGTGCTACCAAACAGTTGGAATACCTTGTCTCAGCTGCTAGGGTTAGACCCCAAGCACAAGCGGTGAGTGTTTGGAAGAAACATTGAACCTAGACCAATTTCCTGTTATGCATTCGACCTTTAGGTGTAAATGTTGGATCCAGACTGAGCCCATATTGATTGGCTCAGGGGTTCACCACCTTGAGTAGTGAATTCGGCCTAACCTCTTTCAGAGGTGGGGCCGAACCCTTATATACTTGTGTGAGACATTATTGGGTCCCACGCCATACAATATCATACCCAAAGTGGTGTCCATGCAACACCTGGGGACATGAGCCATTAAAGAAAATGGGTCAAAGGTCCATTACTAATGAGTAGGGGCAGAGCTAGGATTTTCTTTTAAGGGGAGCCAAAAGTTAGTAAATATAGGTAGGGGGATGAAAATATAGGTAAAGTTAAAATGAGTATTGTAGGGATTTTCAAGGCATAGGAGAGGCCATGGCCCCCTCTGCCACCCCCTGGCTCCTCCCCTGGTAATGAGATTAGTTAAGTTGTCACATGACAATTTAAGTTATCATGTAATTTGGGTCGAAACTTGGCATGGTTCTGCATATGGAGCACCTATCCTCTTAAGAGGATAATGCTTATCTATTAAAAGAGTCCAAATCCAAATCAGATTTGGATAATCTCCTAATTAGAAAATGATAGTGCTCCATATAAGTGGGTTCAGAGGGAGAGGGTGAATAGATCTTGTTCTCTTCATCCTCTTGCCCTCTCTTCTCTCTTCTCCCCTAGAAACCCTATTACGACCTACCCATTGCAATAATTGATTTTTATCAGTTTTCCCATTGTGCTTTTGCAAGAAAAATGTTGGGAAATTTTGGCTCACAAATCCCAGTCAATGCAAGGCAGTTAGATAGTAGTTTTGTAGAAATAATGCTGTTAAATCAACTTCTCATTCATTGTACCATTTTCAGTTGAAGGCTAGTTTTTTGGATTGATTTTGGGCATGAACTACCACTTTGTGAGTTGCATTTTGTGGAATCTGTATCAAGTACATTAGTTTTAGTTTTTGTTTCAAATCTATTTCAACTCAGTGCAAAATTGATCCAAAATTTTTAGATTTCAAAATATCCGGGAAACTAGTTCCCCAGTTGGACTAGAAATTTTTTTAAATTTAGCCATCCATTAAACCTGGTTGGCCATCCATATTCTGGATTCTAACCCATCCAACAATCTCTAGTACTTATGGACCACTAGTGACCTAACCACTCTATAAAAGACCTCCTAGGGTGGTTATCAACCTGGCCAGAAAGCATGGAACCAAACCACATGGCCCTCATACCTGGGCAATTGAAGAATTTGTGTTCCACTGTTTCCACCTCTAGGGAACAAATGGCACATACTCCTGTGTTCCATTGGCACCTCTTTGCTAAATTCGCATTGGTTGGTAGGGAGTTAGTGATACATCTCCATAAGAATACTTTGATTCGATGAAGGAGGTGCTTATAATCCCACAGCATTTTCCAAGTGACTCCCAGAAATGTCCAAATGTAGTTGGATGAGCTAGCAACATTGGCACTCAGAAATTTATAAGCCTAGGAACTTGTAAGAGTACCATGAGCGGTGTATATCCATATTAACCTATCTTCCACACTATTGGGTTCCATAGGAAAGGGAGTTCATTTGATGAGCTCAAAAGAATCTAAGTCAAATAGGTTATGTAATTTTTTAATATCCCAAGTTCCTTGTGAAGGATCTTAAAGGGATGCAACTTCTAGTTCAGCCTCTTGCACCTATGCATTAGGAAGGAGAGATGGTAGGCGAAGCTGCCAAGGAACGACCAGTGCATGTACACTCCATCTGTTGCCAATGAGTGTCGACAATTTCACTCCTTGTCAAAATGCATATTGTGGCTTAGTCTTCATATATGTAAATTTTAACTAAAAAATCTACCTTTTTGAGTAGGGATGATTAGTTTCAGCCCAGCCCCACCTAGTTGGGCCTAGTTTTTATATACAAGCCTAGCCCACAATGCATGTTATATGTAAACTCATGCATTTGACATCCTTTAATGGAAATTTGTTAGATTTGGGTTGATAAACTTGGGTTTTGACATCATTGGGTTCTAAACCAGGGTCCAAATCTAGGGTTGGTCTTGATCCAATCCATCTAATTTATCCTTCTACTTTATTAGAGAGGGTAAAAAAAGGTTCGAAGATATTTAAGAAGAAATAAGAGATTTAGTGGGGGAGGGGAGATGTTACAAACATTAAGTATTGGAGAGAGAGAGAGAGAGAGAGGATATTATTAGAAAGATCAATGAGGGGAAGAGGAGGTCCATGAGTATTGAGGTGAGAGAGCAAATTTGGCTAGGCCTAAGTCGGCAAATTTGGGTTTTGACATCAGCTTGGCTACTTCATAGTCCAACTTTATTAAAAGAGTCAAAAGAGATATAAGAGAAAATAATGGATTTAATGGGGAAAGGGAGATATTACAAACGTTAACTATAAGAGAGAGAGAGAGAGAAGATTTTAAAAATGGCTTTCATCAAGAGAGTAATGATTAAGACCTAAGAGGTTTTTACTGTGATTATTATATTTTTTTAATAACTATAAGAGAGAGAGAGAGAGAGAGAGAGAGAGAGAGAGAGAGAGAGAGAGAGAGAATTTTAAAAATAACTTTCATCGAGAGAGTAATGATAAATTTTATTAGAGAAAATTAAGACCTAAGAGGTTTTTTACTATGATTATTATATTTTTTAATAATTAATTTGAAAATAGATAAACACATGTGTGAGAAATGAAAAGAGAAATTTGGTATTAGGTTTGTATTTAGAGTAGGGATGATCATTTTCAGCTTGGCCCAAGCCCAGGCCTGCATTAGGACCACAAATTTCAGGGCCGAGCCTGAGCTAGCCCGACATACACACACATACATACATACATATATATACATATATATAATTTGAAAATAGATGTTTGTGAATCTGAGAAAACCAAATATGTCGTTTACTAAATCTTTGAGCTTGGAATAGACCTGCATATATAGCAAAGAGTTTTGCAGCTTCAACTGAATTAATAGAGTAATGAGAAAAATTGATATTTCAAGGTAAAGCAAAAAGAATGGATTGGGTGAAAGAACAATCCAAAAAGAGGTGGTTCAAAGTTTCTGGCTGGTTATGACAAAATACACAGTTCTGTTCCTGAGAAAAGAAGATCTGTGTTTTAACAGGTATAAAGTTTTAGATAATTCTCCACATAATTAATTGGTAGTGAGGAGGGCAAGAAACCTTCCATTTAAAACAATCTTTAAGCTGATCAGAAATATTAGGAAGAGAATCTTGGATTAGGTCTCTATAAGTTGTAGTAGAAGAAAATTTACCCGAAGGATGTTTAGTCCACATCTAAGAGATGGAAGTGTTGTTTGGATGCATTGGGGTTTGTAAAATCTGTTCAATTTGATCTAAGTTGAAAAATTGCTGCAGAATGGGGGTATTCTAGTTATTGTGATCAATGATATCATTGAAAGTAATCTGAGAGACAGTGAAGGAAATGGGCTGAGGTATCATGTGAAATTTTCAGCTGATTGGATTCAAAGTAGATGAACAATCTATTCTGAGGAAGAAGTTTTAACTAAGAAACCTATTTCTTGAAGAAGAATATGTAATTTAGGGGCAGTCGATTTCCAGTAAAGAGAACTACGAGAAAGGATATTAGTAGGAAAGAAAGAGTGAATGGGGAGATATTTAGACTTCCAAATTTGGGCCCATAATTTATGATGTTCATTAAGGTATCTCTAGGCTAATTTTTTAAGAAAAACTAGATTGATTAATTTGATGTGTCTGTAACCTAATCCTCCTGAAGATTTAGGGATAGTTAAGGAATTCCAAGAGCACCAATGATAAGGATGAGGATTGGAATCAGATATGGCCCACCAAAAATCTTTTATAATTTGTTCTATACGTGTCATGGTTTTTTGGGGTAATTGTACTATAGACATGGTATAAGTTCGCATCGCTTGGAGTACAAATTGAACTAAAACTCTTTTGCCAGCTTGACTTATTGCAGTAGCTTTCCAGTTAT